AGTGTTGGGTGAAGAGATTCAAAGGTCGGTTCCACCAGAAGACGACGGCGAATTCCTCTTGACCAGCTGTACATAGACGAACATCATCAGAGCGAGGTAACATTGTCACAACCAAATTCAAGCTAACGAGTCAAGAAAGTTTTTACCTGAATCGAAGGAGATTGCCTCGGAAACAGCGTCAGCATGAATCTTCTTCTGGTGGAACAGACCTTCGAATCTCTTCACCCAACACTTCTACTCGAAATGGAAGTAAGCCTGACAATATGACTAAATCCCACTTTGCGCAGAAAATGTGAGTTTCTTGTTTCATAACAGTTGAGCTCAACTCTATTTCGATTGAAAGTGTTTGGTAAAGATATTGCAAGGTCGATCCCACCAGAAGACGACTACCGTCAGATTCCTCTTGACCAGCTGTCGATTGGCTGTACTGGGACATTCTTGTTGACGCTCTTTCCGAGGCGATCCCCTTCGATTCCGATAAAAACGTGCTTAGCTTTCATCCGTCGTATGACGAACATCCTCAGAGCAGGGTAGCATCATAACCACCAAATTCAAGATTATGTGTCAACAAAACTCATTAGTATTGTTAGGGGGACCTTCATTTCGAATGAAAGTGCATGAAGAAGAGATTCGTTGGTCGATCTCACCAGACGAGGACGGATGAATCTCGTTGTACTGTAGCTGTTTAGCTTTGAGATGATATTCATGTTGACGCAGTCCACGAAAGGGTGTTGAACCACTTTCAAAAAGAAGGCCACTCAATTTGTATGCTCAGTGATGGTTATAATTTTACTCACATTCGCCCAAAATGTTAGAGTGAGCTCTTCAAACAAACCAGACCTGCCAGATTACGCAACCCTATTCTTGCTTTTCCTTAGAGGATTAAACGTTAATGACCCTTGACTGAAAGGTTAGGACAAGTGGTTTCGTATCTTGATTATCATGCTTACAAGCTCATATCTCAAGAATACTTATTTACGAACCTAGGCAGTCTCGGTCAAATATTTTTTTCTTGAGTTATTGGATCAGAACCGGAGATTTAACCTTTGACAAGTCTGATTTAGGAACTGTATTGCATATAGACGCTAACACGCACAAATATACATACTCACACAATCGAGCAAAAATAACAGAACCAGTATCTAGGTTTGTTAATTTTTAATTTTTAATTTTTTTGGCTCAATTGAGTCTCTATAAGAAGTAAGATGGAGCCGGATAGTGTTGTTGCTTTAGTGTTAACGTGAGATTTTCACAAGAATGAAACCCGGCTCTGATGATGCCCATCGAATGATGAACGAAAGCTCAACACGTTTTCACCCGAAACGAGAGAAGAAGTCTGGTGGACTGACTCGCAAGCCTGAATTTTGTTGTGAAGCTGTTACCTCGCTTTGATGATG